GTGCGGTTGAAGGTCTCTGTGTCACAATCAGCCCGACCTTCTTTAACCGATGTCAAAAGCAACAACCGGGTATTAAGTACGCAACTGAATGAAAACGGTACCACCGATTATGGTGACAAACGACAAGGATTACATGTGTGTGCACGTGTGAAGTGTGAAAACAGAAATCGGGTGGCATTGGGGTTGGTGTACGTAAGAGTTCAAAAACGGAATAGCCTGCGATCAAGGCCCTGAACAAGAGCACACGAAAAGCGGTGGGAAACTGGTCAATTGAAATAAAACGTAACTGAGAGGCGTGCATAAACTGGGACGCCTTCACGCAAGCACACCCCGTGGGCGCCAATGTAAACACATGGTAGCAGTCAAAATAAAAAAAAACCGGGAAGTGGGGGAGAACACTTGGAATGTGTTAATTTGTTAGGTAAGTAGACAGAGGTGTTAGAGGAGTTCGGTTGAGTAAATGAATCGGATGATGGGTTGCACAATTGGGAACGGGTTAAGTTAATAACAAAGAGTTTTTGATCACATAACCTTAAACACAAGTGTTAAAATAATTTTGTTTCAATTTGAACGAGCCGCCAAAGTCTAGTGCAGCATCTAGTGAGACTTCAATGTAGCCAAGATTAGTCAGGGCTGTAGCATCATGGGTCTGCTTGCATAGGAACTTTGCCCAGTATGCTGTATCACTCGAGAGTTTTGCATACGAATTCAGTTCACGTGTATCGGTAGGACATGCTCAGACATAAATAAAAGAAAGACATCAACACCCGGGTGTTCACACATTTACGATATCAGCAAAAAATAATCCTTGTTTCTGCTATTCAAATTGGGTCATCCTAACCAGTGACCACTGTAGATATGCACAGTCTCAGTTTAATCTGGTTCACCTCTATTTTTGTGTTTGAAGTACAAGCAAACACAGAGAAGAGAAATCCACACAAATAGCCACACACGCACCTTCTACCTCGCAATGACTGTTTATGAGAAGGCGTAGTTGGACAAGTTAAAATTTAGCGTTTGGTGAAAACCAATAATTTGGGTGCCGTGGCGCCATGTGTAAAAGATCTGTACAGAAACGAATCGTATGCAAGGGTAGGTCTGGAAGAAACGATGAAAGTTTTGTTCACGGTGCAGTGTCACTCCACGAAAAGAAGCGAAACTGACTAGACCATTTCGATCAGATTTTCAGCGATTTATTCGAGTTCTCGCACAATAGCTGTCTTGCAAAGAATTCACTTATCTTGGAAGGCAAAGCACCCGTTTGAGGTGACCGAAAACCCTGACACATTGTTAGAAAAGCTTAAAACCAAATTACGATAGAAAGTGTCCAGCTGAGATCTATTTACATCACCACACAACACTTTCCACTGATTTTACTGTCTGAATCGTATTCGATCAATTCTCGAACAGATTTTCTCGGCAAATTCGTAGTCTGGACAGTGTCATGCTCTGTCGATTGGGAACCGTAGCTTGGACGGGTTTGTCTTATCTGAGTGCTATGTACTGTACCACCGTGACCTCCACTGTTCGGTGACAATGGTTGAGAATGGTGAACCGGGTTGAAATAGGCATTGTGCGCGGATAGATTAGGTGTTGTGGGGTCTGTTTTCCCCGGTTCAGTGGAATCCGAAATTCTGGCACGACGAGACTGGGTCGACGCCCGATGAGCAAGAGTTGGTGAGGACGCTGTTTGTGTGGTGTTCCGAAGCGCACCGCCTGGTTGATTGGAACATCGATCGTTCACATGATTACGTGTTTTTGTTGCTGGGCTCGGGGGCATCTGGTGCAATGTCTGATCTATACCAGAGCCTGTGGGTTTAGATAAAGTTCGTACCGGCTGACTCGGTGTATATTGACCTTCGTTGTTCGGATTACTGGGAGTTACACGCCTGGTCGGTTTGTGCTCGTTTTCCATAGTACCACGTTTCGATCCAATGTGGCTTCCCGGTTCCGGACTAGTAACTCGTTTCTCAGACCTGGGCGGTTTGGTGGACTGTGGGGGAGTGCGCATAATGCACGCACGCACACACACACACACACATACATACCAACATACACAACACGCAATCGAAGAGAAGTATGCACACAAATAACAAACGTGTAAGCGACAATTGTAAATTGGAATGCACGGGTCGGATGGATTGAGTGTGGACACACGTGAATGCGATGGACAGGACGGACAGGGTGAGAAAAGAAAAGGGATGAAAGAGAAACGTTGGAATTATCGGTTAGCTATGTCAACAGATGACAGAAAAATTGCACGGAAATGGTGAAAGCCAGGTGACATGAAATGAAGCAAATCTGTATATGAAATGATATATAAAAATGAACACAAAACCCACACCGGTTAGGTAGTTGAGTAATATTGTGACTCTGTTATACCAGGCGTTGGAAACGATACGTTAACTTATTCGCGTGCGTGCACACTATATGATGCACGAAGCTATGGAAATCCCAATCGTCCGTAAAGCAAAAAAGGTTGGTTAAATTTTTGATACACCAAGCTGCGAAATCATAATTACGCACATGTGTTCCGTGTAAGACAAACTGGAAAAGTTACAGTGCATCAGTGTTTTGGACGGTTTCATGAATTTGTGTGTTATGCTCATCGCATCAATGAAGTGGGTCAGGCGTTGAAGAGAACGCGAAAACACCGTACACTTGACTTTTCGGTGTTTTCCTTGTGACTAAAGCAAACACCATCCAATTTATATTTCAAAGAAAAAAACGTTTGCTCTGATTGAGTCGGATTTTTAATCATCAGAAAGAACACCGGTAGCTTTCAGTCAGTCTTTCCGCCGAATTTAGTGCTACAGATGAATAGGGTGGAAAATCTATAGTGGAACAGTTCTTTGTACATAATCAGTACTATGAGTACTAATTGAACACGTTTCCGTTAATATTTGAGTTGTTTATAAGAAAAAGAGAAAGTAGACAAAGCTATAACGGACACGTATACCTAACAAACGGTAAGAACCGCGGAATTAGTTGTGCACTTGTATGTAAGTTTTGTCCCTTAATTATTATCCACATAAAGCTATATATATCATATCGGATTAATAAAAAGCAAATCTGTTGACAGGTGTACATTCAGATGATAGAGCTGAGAGTCAACTAGAAATGATTTCAGTAAACGGAGTTGGACGAGATGAAATTTGGACGTATCATTATCCTGGTTGATGGAAGTCATTCAATATTGGGGTGACGACAGGTCCAAGCCTCACGGTAAAAGGTATAACACCATAGAGACAACGACTCAAAGATACAGGCAGGCGAAAAGAAACTCACGCTTCTGTCGGACGTTTTGCGATTTCCGTTGCTAAAGACGGACGAGTCACTTCCAGTGGGAGAAAAGACTCCGTTGCTTGACACTGTAGATGGTCTCTTAGATCGAGGGGATTGTACGGTTTCCAAAGGCTGTACATTGGGGCTTGTGACCGAAGGACTGTGGGAAGTGGAAGAATGTCTTGTGGAGGCAGGAGGAACAGTGGGTGAAACAGCAGATGTGCTGGTTCGAACACTAGGTTGTTGTTGTTGGGCCATCGTAATATTCGTATTCACTGTCAGCGGACTGGTAACGCGACGCTCTGCGTTCATTTCGGTTGGATTCACAGGCTCGGGAGGAGCTAGTTCGGTGTCCCCATCAGCCAGATCTAAACTGCCAACACCGCGCATTTCGGCTTCTTGTTTGGCTTCCTTCCAAGAGATCATCTTTTTCTCTCGCATACTCGTGCGACGTATAGAAGCGCTGTTTGAAAATCAATTTTCGATAAGGTACCGCAATTAAAAATAAAAGTAAAGAAATCAAACTATGTTTATAGTAAAAAAACCGACCTACCAACTTGAAAATGTCTCCACCATGTTTCCGATTAAGCATCCAGATCTCAATGCACAGATGCGAGGGGACCGAATCATATTTGTAATTTAAGTGTTATTAACGAAAATTTCAGTGACAAAAGTAACGCTTGCATTGCGTTGCATTTAGTAAGTGCATGCTACACACATTCAATCGTTTAGAGTGGAAGGAATATTTAAGTAATGTTTGATTTATCCACTATTTTGGAATTCCAAAGTCTCTCATACTCGCATCTTCTCTATACGCTTCGCCGCCACATACAGTTCCGTCAATCTTCCCAAGCTTCACTAGTACTGATAAATACTTTGAGAAGTAGGAGATAGAATGCTTCAAAATTATTTTGGTACACGTGAAAGTATGACGCCAATGAAAAGTTGCGAAGTGCAGTGCCAGCCTTTTACTGCTGTTAGTAATCACTGTTCGAGTGAGTAGAATAGCAAGTTCCGGTCGGATCAAAACCTACTATGTAGAAAGGGTTAGTGCTCCAGATCGTGATACGCCTGCTGAACCAAGTCGGGAATGTTCAGTGGTGACGCGTGCGACTTAAGTTGATCGAATGGACAAACACAACTGGTGAATATCCGCAGAAATCAAATAGACATAGAATGCTTTCCACGCTTTTAATAGGTATCCAAATGCTTGAACCACATTAACCTTGAAGCAGTATACTGGCTTAGTGCATGGGCCGCCTATCACTCATGTGCATCCGGAAATCGGACGGTAGTCGAGGGTGGGGAAAGACAATAGATTTTCTAATATCAGTTAGGTAGACGGAGCTTGCTGGCAGATCAAAGCAGCATCAACATAGCCATAGCAGCGTGCCTCCACACAAATAGTGACTTTGAGCAGACTCTACTTGATTGGACATCGCAGTAACGCCTTTAGAAGTTGCTTTCACTCCCATCACATATGTACTGATTCAAGTCACTTGAAATCGATGATTATTATGATATAAGGGGCGAAATTTGTCTATGATGGTTAGTTAAATCCAGCCACAACCAAATGACCAAATCTTCGAGGAGGGTCATAGCGAGTGGGTAAATTTGACTGGGTTATCT